TTTTTTTTTTTTTTTTTTTTTACCAGAGAGAGAGAGAGAGAGAGAGAGAGAGAGAGAGAGAACTACCTTTCTCTACTTGTGACCATCATGAAGCTTAGAGCTGTAACACCTCAATGGCCTTCTCCAGAGCGTTGTTTACTAGGATGAACATCACCTTGCCTTCACTTATTCAGTTTTATGACACCTTTTTCTCTAAGTAAAGGTTCTGATTTCCAGGTCACAGTTTCAGGTGTAGTGCTGTAATAGCATTTAAGCATTTATATAAAGTATGTTAATATATTGATATAAAAGGACCTTAAATAAAACATTTAAATAAATAAAATATTTGTTGAATAAATAATATATTATTAAACTTCCATGTGCTCCTTGATCTCTTAAATTTTCAAAGTGCTCCTTGATCCCAGAAACACACCAGAAGCAAACTCTTTTGTTCTAAACTCCTATTTACCTACATTTGAACTTTTCTCATAGCATTTTTTTAAATCTTCTATCTTTCATTAAGGTAATATACATTTGAGAGAACTTGTTTACCAAATTGTAAGTTCTTAGCAGGATTCATATTTTGTTTATCCCCCTTGCTCAATCTTGACAAGGTTTAACCAGAGGTGGGCAAAAGAGATTCCTAATAAATATTGTTTTTTTGTTTTTTTTTGTTTTTTTTTTTCAACGTTTATTTATTTTTGGGACAGAGAGAGACAGAGCATGAACGGGCGAGGGGCAGAGAGAGAGGGAGACACAGAATCGGAAACAGGCTCCAGGCTCCGAGCCATCAGCCCAGAGCCCGACGCGGGGCTCGAACTCACGGACCGTGAGATCGTGACCTGGTTGAAGTCGGACGCTTAACCGACTGCGCCACCCAGGCGCCCCTAAATATTGGTTTTAATTTAATTTAATTTAATTTAATTTAATTTAAATATTGGAATTAATTTATTATTAAAAGGAGAAAGAATCATACACACAAGTGTTCTTAATCTCTCCATTATTTCCCCATCCTGTGATGTTAATACAAGTACTTAGCTTCAGGGGGGCAACAATACATCAGAACACAATTCTAACACATCCTTATTTATAACCTATATTGAATGGGTTCCTCCTATGGCTTATCTTCAAGACTAAGACAGACAGCAGATACTCCCTATTTGGCTTGGCCACTTGTGTGTGATACAGACACACACAATTGCTTGAATAAGTCCTTTCTGTGCCCCAGTGTTCACATTGTCTTAACAGGCAGGAAAGGGATCTGCCAATATCACTGATACAGATGCTTCCATGAATTCCCATATGGAACTCTATTAGTTGGGGTTCACCCAGAGAAGCAGAACCACTATGAATGTTATCAAATGAAAGATTTATTATAGGAATTAGATTTTTAAAAACTGGGAGGAGCTGAGGGAATGGACTTCAAAAAGGAGACGTTGGAGGTTGAGGAAAGAGTGACTAATTCTTCCTCTTAAAGCACTTTCACAGGTGAAGAAATGGAGTTGTAGGGAGAATCTGAGAAGCTAAGCATGCCTACCCATTGAAGTAGGAAAGGGAACAGGAATTTGTCTGATGTCTTTGGAAAGCTGTTGATCTGTACGCCTACGACTGCCTCTGTGGGTCCATAGCTAAACATCTAGTGGTAGGCATGAGGCCACCATTGGTCAGCAGGGTCAGCAGAGAAAGAATTGATGAATGCATAGAGGAGAGCAAAGACAAGGCAGAAGCCTCTGGGCAACTCTGCCACTCAATATATCCCACTACAATGACTTTAAGAGAGAAATGTGTACTGCCCCACTTCCACCTACTAAATCTCACAAGTTTTCTCTTTTGGCATACTTTAGCCTTGGACCATATAGGAAAGAAGATTCTGGGGACCTTTGGTTCCAGCTTAGTGGTGTTGATAATAGAATGATCCAAGACAACAGCACTATTCTACAACAAGTGGAAAGGGACATAGAGTCTCCTGCCAAAAAATTCCCAACATTCTTACAGTTTGGGGGAAGCTGCAAAAGCATCTAGTTACTACACTCATGGTCATCTGCTAGTCCATTCAGATTCAGCTATAGGTGATATGATAGACTGTATTTTATAAAGATGACCATACAAATATGTTTATCCAGTTTCATGTGCTCTTCTTACAGCGTGACTTATACTCTCCTTGGCAAGAGGTGGGTCCTAGACCCCCAACTTGAATCTAAGTTCTGATCAAGTATGGCAGAAGTGAAGCTTTGTGATGTCTGGAGCTAGGTCATAAAAAAAAAAAAATACAGTTTTGCTCCCCTCCACCCTTTCTCTCTCTCTCTCTCTCTCTCTCTCTCTCTCTCTCTCTCGATGTTTGCCTATGGAACCCAGCCACCATGTTGTGAGGAAACCCAGGCCACTTTGAGAGGGGCTTCCAGCCCCTTCTTGGACTTTTAGTCACCCAACTGAGGCCCAGACACTGTGAGCACAGACAAGCCACTCCCCACTGTGCCTTGTGAATTCCTTATCCACAGAAATCTTGAGAGATAATAAATGGTTATTACTGTTTTAAGTCACAAATATTGGGGTAATTTTTTATGTAGCAATAGATAACAAAAATAGGTGGACTCTGGAAAGTTCCTCCTCTATATGTTGCCCCAACTCCCACCTTCCCTTTATAAATCTCTGCCATCATTCCTGGCTCCATTCTGCCCCCATCAAGATATTTCCAAACTTAGTACTACCCATTTTTGGTTTTATTCCAGGAAAACTAAGAAATAGCCCAGTAGTTGTTAGATTGCAACTCCTGTAAACCAGTAATCTTTTCTCAGTAATACTGAGCGCCTCTCACAGCATAACTTCAATGTTATTAGGTTAGGCAACATATTCTGCTCCTCACTAGAGTTGAGTATAAGGAAGGACCCTTTTCTGATACCGCTTGTGTGGCAGAACAGGGATTAGACATAGCAAATACTCAATAAATATTTGTTGAATAAATGAATAAATTACTAAGACTTGGCCATTAAAAGAAGACTCACATGGATCAATGGTGGGTTTTGTTGAAGATAGACTAGATATTGGGTGATCCAGGAGCTCTTCCCCACAGTAGAAAAGTTTGAGAGGTCCAGATTGAGCCTCATCCTAAGTAGGTGGGCCTGAAATATTTGCATCTGTTCTAAGGCAGAGTAAGGAACCTGTTAAAGGGCTTTGTGGGGACTTAAGTGGTTGTTGTTCCTATGCAACTCAAAGGATTTTCTTGATTGCCAATAACCTAAGGCTAGGTTATAAATTCTGGGACTATTCTGGACCATAGTGAGAAACCCTATAACCCTACAAGCCCCAGCATCCATGTTCTTCAAGAATAGAGCACTATAGTTTACTATGAAAATCACATGACCAAATAAGTCTGCTGTTCTCCTCAGATAGATTTTGCTATCATGGTTCTCTAAACTAATATTATTTAAGGATGGAGGTTTTAGGAATCTTGAACAACATGAGCTCTGACTGGAATTTTGTGACTAGTGTTTAAGCATTGTCCTTTGTGGGTGATAATAATATGGGTTGAGGTCTGGGTGAAGCTGGTCAAGGTCTTGGTTCTGGAGTCAAAAGTCCTGTGTTCTTTGCACTATCGCCTACTATGACGTTGAACAAGCTACTTAGCTACTTTAAACTTGAATTTCATTATCTTTCAAATGGGGCTAATAATGGTATCTGGCTTATTGTGTAGATTAAATACCATTATACATTATGTCATATATGATATTATACTCTGTATCTGATGCATAGTAAGCTTTCATTAAATAGTAATTCATATTTTTATCATTATAAATATATTCTTTGGCAAAGATACTTCCTATTCAATTGTCCTTTGAAAACACCAAAGCCTTTCATTCTGATGGATCCAGTTTTCCTACTTCCTGACTTTCTCTACAAAGCACAGTACTATCTATTCATCTTTTGAGTTCAACCTCCTAAATGAAGTATGTCCCAACACTTCCATCTCACTCATATCTTTTATTTCTTGACGTTCCTAGCATCCACATTACTAAGAGCTATTCCATACTATTTAATTCATTACTACTTGTTTTTCCTCATGTGGCTCTAGTTGTGGTCTTTTCTTCTTAATAGAATTTTAAGTAGCTTGAGAACAGGGATCATGCCTTATAAACCACATTTGTGCCATCTGAATATTCTAGATGGGGCTGGGCAAAGAACCTGTGCTCAATAAACATCTGTTTGTTTTACTTTTTATTTGGAAGGTGATAAAAACAATATTCTTCTGCTGGAATGGATCAAAAGGACAGCTCATGAGATGTCACTGATAGCTCTGGACTGGGTCTAGAGAAATGATCCCTGGGCTTAATGAGGACCAAAAGGGATTCTGGCTGTACATCACATGTGCACAGGATATGTGAGGAGGCCAGTGAACATTCAGTAAAAGAATCTGGTTTAAATAAACCAAATTATCACATACCTCTGCTCTGCCCCTGCTTATTGCTATTCTAAAACCAGTGGTGTGTGGCTGGAGAGGTGGCAAAGCGTCAGATGCCTGACTATATGATATGCACCATTAATAGGGCTCTCTCTTTTCCAACAGCTCCCAGGTTTCTAGCAGGCCAAGGGCAGGGCCTGGTCTAGAATAGAAAGTTGACAGACAACAGAACACCGTGCTTAAGCCGGACTGAGAGAATGGAAAAACTGATCCACAGGAGGTCCGCCCTGCCAATTCAGCGGCAGTTGGAGGAAGTGCTTTCAAAATATAATGTGTGGAGGCTGGCAGACCAGCACAGGAAGACATGCCAAAGCTTGCAAGCTCCCTATCTAAGACAGGGTGGATTCCACATGGCTAAATCATAGCTTTTCAAAAGGTATGGTACCTCCTAACTATCTTCTTTATCACGGCCAGTTTTTACTATGGTCAGGACTGACACCATTTAGACAGAGACCAAAGAGAGAAAAACAGTCCAGGTGTACAGGACGAATGCACTGACTTATAGCTTACCCTTTAAAAAATATATCATGAGAGATCCTACTTTATGCTAACTTTCCTATCCTCAGTGGACCCTAGTGCAAATGGGGAAATCTATGAATGCAACTGGATTGTAGAAGATAAGCACTTAAGTTTCATAGTCTTCCTAGTTGCTTAGATCACTGAACAGGTGAGTGGAATGTGGCAACATTTCTAGTGCTTTCTGGTTTAGTTTCATAGATGACACACTCAATAACAGATCTCTAAATTATCACAGCTCATAGTGGCTATCCTATGGAAAGGGCTGACCTGTTTCATCTTGAATGGGAAGAAATAAACCTGTTCAACCAGATGACTTCATCCTTCCAGTGACTGGGAGAGAATACAACAAAAGACTAACACATGAAATAATGATGCCAGTTTCCCTGAAGGAATTTCTGGGGAAAGCATGGGGATAGTATTGTTGGAGGGACAGATTATGACCTGCTTGGAAGACATGAAATAAAATTGTGTTAACACTCAGTAATTTTTTAACCCGAGGCCTAAAGTAGTTGGTTCAAAAGAAAACAAATTCATTGATGCAAAAGAGTTTATTAGCTTTCAGATGAGAGGGAATATGGAGCCATTGTGATTTGGAAATACCTGACACATTAAGTTTATTCTGCTTAATTCATGAAAATCTATTTTTCATAGTACCTCATTGAACATTTTATGGAAAAAAATGGAAAAGGCCTTCCATTTAATTCTGTAGGAACAGAAATATGCCTTCTCTCGCCTCAGTTCAGTCAAACATATACAGAGGCTCCAGACTCAGAGCTGTCACTGAGTGATTAGGAAACCTTTATGGTTAAACCTGAATGAGAAAAGGAGACCAATTTTTGATAATACAGCGGGACAGATTCCTTTTCTATGCCATTGGCTTTAGGTTTCCCTGTCTTTCTAATGTCAGGTCCGTGATCAGAGGACACCTGAAAAGCCTTTGTAAGGAAGATGCTACACTCTGACTTGTCACATGTGTAGATCAAGTGAAGTGACAGCGACATGAGAGAAAATTCAGGGCTTTTCTGTGAGCAGGAGACTTTGATAAACTCTTAGACTGCTAGAAGTGTTACCTTTTACTTAAGTCACTTCTTCAATGAGCTGAGACACTTAGACCATTTCCTGCCAGTGGGGTGGCAGGAAAGCTGATACTTTAGGGGGACTTGGGTGGTTTTGAAATGATTTTTCAGAACTTGAGAAATTTGTATGAATGTCCCGAAATGTCACTACATGAATATTTGTGTCAGTAGTACTTTTTGAATTCAAATGGCCATATTGGCAAGCAGTTTAGGAGTAGACAGTAAACTCAATTTAGGAGTAGAGGATGGGTAGAATTAGGATGCAGAATTAATAATCCTGAAGTATCTGTGAATGACATTTGGGCAAGACATGGAACTCTGAAAGAAAAAGACTTATTCTCTGAGTCTGGAGAAAACCAGAACAAAGCAAATCATCCAGCTACTTATGTCAAATTACATTTCAAAACAAGTACAATTTAAATGTAAAAAAAATAATGATAGTTGAAGATTTAAGCAAGAATTTTATAATCTAGGAGTAGGGAATACTTTCTAAAAATGACATCTAAAACCAACATCTAAAGAAAATAATTGTAGATTGGTTACATGAAAATATTTCCATGCGTTAAAGCACTATAAACAAATTTGAAAGATAAATAAAAAGTACTAAGCTTTATTTTATATGAGGTATTAGAAAAGAGGTTTAAAATCAATAAGGAAATAGTGGACACTCTTGGAGAAAAACAAAAGAAACAATACATATAGCCATTAAACATATGAAATAAAGTTTAAACTCATCAATGATGAAATGAATGCAAATTAAAAGAATGCTTACCATTTTATCTTGAAAAACATTTTAAGAATTGGTAATAACCAATATTTAGCAAGACTGAGGATATGGGGCCTCTTAATACACTGTAAGAGGGAATATACAGTGGTACAAATTGCATGAAGAACAGTCTTGCAACCATTGTTACAAAATGTAAAATACACATACATACTTTGTGACCATGTATTTCTACTTTTAGGGATTATTTCAGGATATAATCACACAGAAGCAAAGATATGCATGTAAATGCTTATTTCTACTTTATTTAATGTAACGACAAATGGAAGCTACCTACTATTTCATAGACTAATGATGATCACTTTAAAAAAGTTAAAGCAAAGCCCTACAATGTACTAATTTTTTTTTAAGATTTTATTTTTAAGCGATCTCTATACCCAATATGGGGCTTGAACACACAACCCTAAGATCAAGAGTCAAATGCTCCACCAACTGAGCCAGCCAGACACCCCACAATGGATTATTCATATGAATAATTATATTTATGATATATTTGGTGAAAAAAGGGCACAAAACAACACTTAGGATAAAATGTAATAATTTGACTGGGAGTGCTCAGGTTATGCACACAAGTCAGCATAGGATTTTCCCCAACATTTTATTATGAAAATTTTCAAACATACAGAGGGGTGAAAGAATAATAAACATCTATATATTTTCTACCTAGATTCAATAATTACTGACATTTTGCCATCCTTATTTCTCTCTCTGTATACATACACACACCTGATTCATGAATCATCCCTAATAATTTATTAGGGCCCAGATTCTGCCTGAAGAAGTAGTGAAGACCTCCATCCCACCAAAGACAACCCATTCTATTTTCATTGAATTCTCTAAGGAAGCTTTCCCTTATTTTGCATTAAAATCTGCATTTCAGAGGGGGTTATTATGACTATAGTTTAGCTATCATTTTTTTTTCCTCAGGAGGGTGCTGAAATAAAAAAAATAATCATTTAAGTTAAATTGGGAATATCTTAATTCTAGCTTTTCAGTTACAAAAAGTAGCAATAATAATGTTTGGCAGATTTGCCTAAAAGGAAAGTCTGAGTAAGATTTTAGAAAAAGAGATCCCTATTAATCTTTCTTGCTCTGAACCTGAGAGGGGAAGAGGAGGAGCACCCCCTCAAGCAGATGTCTTCACCTACTGAACAGTTTTCCCTCATATGGTCAGGGCCACACCACCAAGCAAAAACAGTGTGCTCTGGGACTGTTCCAATCTTTCAGGGAGGCAGATGCTAGATAAGAAGATGCTGACAGGCGTTCTGGTGTTGTTCCAAGCTCCCCTTCAGAGTTCAACTCCTTTGTCCCAATGTCCTCATCTCCAGGAACCCTCTCCTCCCAACCGGGCAGGGGAGAGATTATTCTCTTGCCACTCTCCCTTGCTTAGCTCAGCACTTAAGTGTGGATTATTGTAACCAACGTTCTTTTGTAATGTAACTTTCTTAGACTGTGTGTTTGTCTGCACATGTGTGTGTGAGAGAGAGTTGGGGAGGGAGGGGGCTTTCAGAAACAGGGAAACTGGCTGACCTCTCCCTCATACCTCCTACAATCTCCTCAGGTTTGATCTTGGTCTCCTCCCTTCTCTCTTTCTCTAGTTCCTATTCCTCCATTCCCCTTTCTTCCTGCTTCTGTGTCCATACTATGTTCCTCTTCTTACTGGGGCTTTCTCTTGAGATTTTTCCTCTTAAAGATGTCACTCATCTCAATTCCTGCAAGGTTTGATTGTTCAATTATGAAATCAGATTTCCTGCTTCAGAGTTGTCTCTTAGGTTCTGTCACAAACAATAAAGTTCTTCCTAGTTCTGGTTCACCTCAAAATGTTCCAGTGAGGTGGAGGTTCATAAGTCTCTCTCAGCGATGGTGCTTGGACTCAAGGGTAATGAATATTAAAGATTTGGACTGGGGCGCCTGGGTGGCGCAGTCGGTTAAGCTTCCGACTTCAGCCAGGTCATGATCTCACGGTCTGTGAGTTCGAGCCCCGCATCGGGCTCTGGGCGGATGGCTCAGAGCCTGGAGCCTGTTTCCGATTCTGTGTCTCCCTCTCTCTCTGCCCCTCCCCCGTTCATGCTCTGTCTCTCTCTGTCCCAAAAATAAAATAAACGTTGAAAAAAAAAAAAAAGATTTGGACAGAGGTTCTGGTACCAAGTTGAATGCCAGATTTCCTGCTCATTATTATGAGTCTTCCATGTTAGTTTTAGGATTGGCCTCTGCAATCTGCAGATTTTGAGTTAGCAAAAGGGTCAAGTCCCACAGACTGGATATAGTTTGACTTGAAAACAGACCCAGGTAGGGGAAGACTTTCAGGTTTTATTCAAAGTTTATTATAATCTTAGGTTGTTAAAGGTTGATACATTTAAGAAGCTGGAAAATTGTCATTTCAATCTTTATCGGTTCATTTATCATGATTTTCTGGTACTGTTATGATGTATATACTCCTCTACCAAAGAATGTCAAAATTTATGATAAGGTCCAGAGATTCTTGTCAGTGTCATCATGAATTAATTTTATGGGTTATTCAAAGTTAGAATTAAGTACATGCTGAATTTCAGTTGAATTTCTCTACGAAAATATCAAAATGAAAAAATATGAAAGGCATTGGATCATTGAAAAGGAGATAAAATAATAAAATTAAGGAACATTTGTTAGATCTGCCAAAGTAGCAAATGAACCAATGCCTGGAAGATTCAAAGCTTTAAAAAGATTCAGACTACAATGTTATCTGGCAACTAAAGAGTAGTAAAAATGTACCAAAACATTTCAATTGAAGTATATACTAGAGTTATTAATGAATTACATATAAAACACAACAAAGCTGTGATAAAAAGTAATTTTAGACATTATAGCCTTTGTACAAAGGTTTTTAAATTTTTTTTAATTTTAATTTTTTAATATAATTTATTGCCAAGTTAGCTAATGTACAGTGTATACAGTGTGCTATTGGTTTTAGGGGTAGATTCCCGTAATTCATCGCTTGCACACAACACTCAGTTCTCA